ATATAACGTATTCCTCTGTGCCACAGAGCTCCATTGTCCAAAAACAAATTTTAAAAACACTTTAATGAGCTACACTGTTGCACTGGGTAACATGTTTCCATTATAACAACCATCCTGGGCACTGTAGTTTTTTGGTTTTATTTTTCAATTCAACATACACTGTCCTGCAACTGTAAATGCTCTCTACTAGAGCACCAAATCCAATGCTGAAAATAGTCACACATAAATGCACCATTTACTCCTGTTTGAGTAACATTTGCTAAAAACCGCAGCGCCCTGCTGTTTAATGAAATTATTAAAAATCTAAGTAAGATTTTTATGACCTGTTTTTAAAGCTTTACACCTCCAGTAGGAACAAATGGACTTAGGGTTGAGTGCCACAGACAGTATAAAGAAGTTGGAAAGTATTGACAGACACACTAACACATCTTTTATTTTGGTCTTTTGACATGATGTGTTGACACACATAATTCATACACATAGAATACAGAATATCCCCAGCCTTATCCTTTAAATCCTCTGAAGCTTTATATCTTGAATGTTGCTATGTTGGCTTAAGGAGTGGAACTCTTCTGTAAATGTATTATAACTGACGAGGTAACGAGGTGGTGATATGAATGATTTTAAAGTTGAAGTATTTAACTTAATTTTCTCAATTTTTTAACATTTTAATGGTGCTTTTGTCTGTGGAAAATCTCGAAACATGAGGAGGGGCTGGTCGTAAGAGTAGAACAAAACAAAACACATGACTTTTCCAGTATATACTTGTTTTTGCAGACACTATTGAGAAACTAAGTTACTTCACACGCATATTATCGTACTCTACACACAACTTATTTCTCTCTGGGTGCTTATAGATTATCTTGTGTTCACTCTAGTATGGCTTGAAGGCAGAAATATACTGTACAGCATATGCTCCGTGTACACACAGCCCCTTCCTTGAAACACAAACACTTTTGAGTACACATCTCCTCAGCAGGACCGCGCCGTAGCAGAGTGTCCGGGCAGCAGACGGTGGTGGCAGTGCGTTAGAGCCCGGTGACTCAATAGCATCTTACCATAAGGGCATGATGGTGAGTGACAGATGCAGAGGTGGGAGGGAAGAAGGCAAGACAAGTGACAAGCTAGAACAGGATCACAGCTCCTTTGAAGGCAGCTGGGCAGGCACACACAGAGCCCACAAGAACAGGGAAGTGACTCAACGCCCCAAGGACTTTAAATTACTTTTCTACAACTTATATCTCCTTTTGCAGCCCACACAACTCTAACACTGTTACCACTATTTAATTCTCAACTGGACAATTTTTAAGAACAAGTGAAAATTAAGTGGAAGCCGACAACCAATGATTGAGGCGCGCAGAGCAATTTGCAATCTTGAGTGTGTCAGTGTGAAGGAGGAGGCGCAGGAAACGGCACAGTGTCTCTCGTATTTCAAACTCAAGAGCGAGTAAGTCAGGCTGCTTTTCTGTCAAGTTGCAGAACAGGAAGAGAAACGACACTGAGTGAGGTCCCGACTAGAGGAAGTTGTAATAATTATTCGTGGCAGAAACCGGAGTCAGGAAAGTTCAGCAATGTTGCATGATTTACTATGGAGGGGATCACCCAATAAACACCAGCAACAATGTCAAACATTCTTGAGGTTGCATCAGAGACAGAGAACAAAACACCCTTGAGGTGCCAGAGAGTTGCTGCATTTCCACTTCTGGACTCAAGCTCACATGTCTAATAAACAAATCAATAAAATAATTAAACTGACTCAGTGGTGTGCTAGGATAGATTTGCCTTCATTTCCACATTGAACACAGTATCACAATGGTGCAATGACATGCATTGCTAGGTTGTTTAACCTGAATGTGTTGCGCAACTGTACCCTGCTGGAGGGAGTGTCAGGAGGCACAACCAGGACTAATTTGGAATGCTCTCTAGCTGAACTAGGGATTTATTTAACGTGCTTCGATTAATAATGCCACTTATATAAAACTATATTTTAATATTCTAAAATTTGAAGGAGTTAAGCTTTGACTGACAGTGTCATTTGTGAGATTATAGAGGAATCAATAAATTAACACCTCCTGAGACACCTGCCACCTCTGCGTCAGCTCCTTTGGGGAAAAAAAATGCTGTCGGGGTCACCCTTTTTCCCTCCCTCCCTCCCTCCCCCTCTCCCTCTCCCTCTTTCCCTTCCTCCCCCTCCCTAAAAGTTGATTGCTCATGAGGACAATATGCCCATTGAAGTCAGAGTTGTGAGTGTACAGGACACAATCATCAAGCACCACAAGATGTAACAGCACAAACATTCTTGGTGCACCCACACACGCAGAGAGAGCATGTGTGTATGTGTGTGTGTGAATGAGAGTGAGAGAGAGAAAGAGACCTGCAACTTCCTCTACTACATCAGAACCAACTATTTCACAATGAAAGTGATAAACTGTCCTGTAAATTGAGGTGCTTGTCCTTTTGTCAACAGAAAATAATCTGGATTTCTTTAGCGTTTGTGTATGTGAATGTTGCAAATAACGGAGCTGCTAGTAGACCTTAAATGAAAGGTGTGAATAAAAGGTCAGGTCAGCCGCCTCCCGTCTGCAGCACAGACTGCTTTGTAGAAAAGACCGTCAAGATGTGGTGGCTAAGCTCATTTTCCTCATACATCTCAGAAAGGGATCAGAAACTCTGACGCTGCTCAGTTGGGTCTTACTGTCACAGAACACGACAGCCTAGACACGACTCACCTGCCTTTACTTAAACTGAAAGGCAACATTTTAGGCAACATTTTTATAAGCACAAGCACTTAAAAAGCAAGAATCTTTACCATAAATAAAAATGTTGAATCTCTGCCTAATATGACATGAGTGCAAAAACCATGATACATTCTGCCAATAAAGACTAATAAATGAGACAGCTCAGCTTTAAGTTTGAATGGATGTTGCCATGTATACTAATAAAAGAATAAAAGCCCATAACCAGGACAAAACATCTGACCTCAAAGCGGTTTCACTACATTTTTAACTTCCCAGTTATCTATGGAAGTAATGAGGCAGGGTACGCTCTCATGTTTTAATTGTGGGGTTGATTGGACAGCAAACAGCTAACAGTCAGTTCTCAGATGTTTCTAGAAACCAACAATGATTAAACTCCCTCGTCCATCCCACAGATCCAGAGGCCGACCAAGTGTGCAAAACCTCCCAGTCCCACGGAGGAGTGTGACGTCTGAGACAAACGTGTCACATCATCCTCCCCGGCATGCCAGTGCCTCCTCCTGTGGACACTCGGAGCAGCGCGTCGGCGGTGAAATGACAGCAGATCATGTCTATTTCACCTCCTTTTTGCCGTCTCTTGTCCAAACTAAGATGTACCCTGACTGTGTGAGCTCAGAGTGGAGATGTTGTTTGTGAACATGTTGATTTAGGTTAATGATCCTGCTGATAATGAGATCCTGCTAACTATGCCTCGGAGTGGAACCCTGTGCATGCATGTCAGTGGGAGTGGGGGGTAAACAGCTTTGAACGGCGGCTCCCTGGAACAAAAAAACCAAGACTCAAACAGAGTCCTTGCAGTCATCTACAAAGTCTGTGGTTTGTGAGCAGAGGGGAAGCAGCATTTAGCAGCCGTACATCACTCTGCAATGACATGTACTAAAATAGTGAAAAAAACAAGCCAATTTAATGCCGTTTTCCCCTCTTTTTTTTGCTTGTGAAGCAGAAGCTAGAGTGGACGACCCCTGTACATTCAGGCCCAAAAATGGAAAAAGGGTATTCCCTCTCCCTCCAGCGTTTATGTGTAACGCGCTCGCACAAGGCAGGAAGTTCGCAGCTAAAAGCGAAAGAGATGTTATCTGTGGCAAGACGTTGCTTTTTTTCCATGAAGTCATCACAAGCCCCTGGGTAGAGTGGCTGGCTGCAACAAAAGGGCTACTGTGTGACTGGCACAATATGCCGCTCTGCTCCACAGCTTGGCCACACATGCAAATGACAGGCCAGGAGGGAAAGGTGTGGTGGTGTCAGGTCCGAGCTCAGCATGAAAACACTCATCAAACACCGGCTGAGTGTAGAGGATGGTGAAGACTTTCGGGGTGGGGGGGGGCTCATGTGTGAGAGCTGCTGCATGAGTCACACTGCTCAAGAGAAGCTAGATTTTCACCTCATAAACAGCGACTTGCGCTGATACTATTTTGGCAGTAGAGCTTGGTGCTTTGTGATCTTTATCACTGCAAAATGGTCTATTTCGAATGACTTTACATATCTACTTCCCTGTTATCTTGTAATTCGAACTGCAAAGTGTAAGCCATGTGGAGAACAACTGTTGAAAGTGAAAACAGGTTGTTCAAGATTTTCTGTTTCATTATCTGCACCACCTGAATCTTCTTCCACTCCAGTACACTGAGCGTGCCTGATCTGCACTTCCTGATCCCTGCATGTCAGCCAGGGATGTCTGTCTTCACACACACACACACACACAGACACACACACACACACAGCAGAACATTACTGTGTCAATGCTTAGACAGGGATGGCAGAAGGTTTGTTTTCCATGAGACAAAGCTTTCTTTAGTGAACTACTATACGCCACTTTACATACTTTGAAACCCAGAGCTGACATGAGGCAACCTCTGGGGACGAGCTGAAGAAAAAAAGAGGTTGCTCTGGATGAATGATTCCAATCGATCAGAGTTTATTTGCACTAATAGCTCCTCTGTCCAGATGTGTGTGTGTCTCTCTCTCTCTCTCTCTCTCTGTATGTGTGTCAACTTTAACTAGTGTGATATGCAATAAATGATTCCAATACAGGCATGTGCATCAATGAATATGGCATGTACATTTCCACTGACGGTGCGCCAGAGGGAATATGATTGTTTTTTTTACGCGCACGATTTGCAACAGCTTGAAATGTAACGGCAGCAGTTGGATTTCCTGGCAAATGAATCGATGCAGGCTGTAGCAAATGCGCACCAGCTATGAAGTGAAATTGGGATGAAAAAAGATATACATTGTCAAACTACTCACCGTTCGGTCCATATTTCTCGAAATTGACTTTGACTTGCTCCAGAGTCAGCCCAGTGTTTTCGTTCACACCGAAGTTGTCTAAAACTTCGGTCGCCGATTTAGTGTGCGCATTTTCCATCTTGGTGGACTGGGCTTAGATGATTAGATCGAAATGCATATAGTGGAGTAACATCTATTGTGGCAATCGGGAGGGTGCGCGCCGCGGGGGGGTTGGGGGGTGGTGGGGGTGAAACGGCAGTAATCTCCACCGATGGACGTTGAGGCGGCTGAGTCTCGGTCGGTCTGCTCTGTCACCTGTCTGTCCCCCCTGAAGAATAAACCTCCGGATCCGCGGTACAGACGCTGTTGTTGCACAGTTGATCGACTGCCGCTGCTACTTCATCTCCATCTGAAGGTGTGCTGCGTGTGTGCCGGGGCGGACCGCCTCCTGGCCGTTGAGCACTCCCTCCTGCGCTCCCATTGGCTGCTCGTACCTGAGCGGAGGGTTCAACCGCCTCATGCGAACCACTTCAAATATCTTCCTTAAAAAACAGGTCACATAAAGCTCCGTGAGTGTTTGTCACCCTGCAGGTTGTATTCAGTGACGTCACTGTGTCGCTTGCTTACAGGGAAATGATCTTTTCGCTTGTGGACTTCTGCACATCAGCGCCCCTGCAGCTGGAGGGGGACACAGTGCCTTGCTCAAGGGCACCAGCCCATCAGCACCCAGACTGCTGCTGTTTATGTGAGACCAGTGCAGAGTTACAGTACTGCACACACAAGTCTGATCTGAGTCCCCAAAGCAGCCCTGGGGCCAGTTTCACTAAGATTAGGCTAATATAGTCAATTAGATCAGTTTTAGTTTTCCTCTGAGACTAGTCTGATGCAAGTCAAACAAAAATAAGACCAACTAATTTTAGGCTTAAAGAGATAGCAGCCCTTCTCTTCGGGCTATGTTCCACTGTGAAGTTGTGCTCAGAGCTGACAAAAAAAGGTTTGAGATGCGAATTTGTGGTTTGTTGCAGAGTCAGCAAAGCAGTAATGTTCCCGAAGATGGCCCCTAATCACTTGACGTGTACATATTCTTGAATTTGTGAGTTTCACACATCACCGAATCTTCACAATTAATTGTCCTTGTAACAATTCTCTTCCTGAGTCTGAAGAGAAGAGGGGTGAGGAGCTTGAACTGATAGTAGAAGGGACAATCCAAGGCGACTGTGTTCTAATTTAGTAAGTACTTGGTGCACTGAAAGACAAAGACAAGGAAGAAATGAGCAACATACAGCTTTTGCTGAATCTTTGCATATTTTAGTTGCAAGTAATTGGTGGGGGTTCAGACGTGTGGAGAGGAGGCCCATAGCCAGTGTTAGTTGTAAGGCTCACTAACTACAAAATAACACGGGGTGTGAGTTTCTGTTCTTTTTTGTTGTTTTTGTTTGATTTCATACAGAGCAGAGGCAGCAAAACACCTAAAATTAACATTTAAGAACTTACATTTTTTGAAGTTTTCACTTTTGTTTTATTAGGAAAGTACAATAAGCATACATAAAAAATAAAAGCAGTAGAATAGGCAAAGTAAAACTACAAAATAAATGTAATACGAACCCAATCAAACATGATGCTGGTGTTGTCCTGTTACTGGTGAAATGAGCTGGACATTCAGAGTTGCACAATAGAAGCTAAACAGAATGTCTCAAACTCTGACAGCTGTGTTCTCCGTCCTTGCTATCTTGCCAGACTGTTCTCTCAAGGAGACTTGGCAAGAACATCCTTTTAAAGTCCACTCTTGGCTGTCCTGGTATTGAAAAACACCCTTTGAGTCCTAAGGACCAAGGTTGAATACCACTGCTTCATGTTTGCCGATGCATGGTTTGAACCCAGGATTTTCAGGCAAAATGGAATAAAACATGAACCCTGATTCATATAATATATACAAAAACAGATATAGAAATATAGAAATGTTGTACATTTATTATTTTCTTGCAACAACTACAAAGCTATTGGAAAGTGATTACTTCATAAGAAACATGCAATGTTGGAAGAAGCACTCAGATCCTTTACTGAAGTAAAAGTGCCAACACAACAATGTAAAAATACTCAATTACAAGTTCTAAATGAAAACTTACTCATAGTGAGTAAAACTACTGATGTATCAGTAAATTCCTAAAATCATTTGATGATCAATATTAATGCATTTAAACTGTTGTCACGGATAGAGGTTGAGTTAGTTTTAAGTACTTTATATACAATTAGATAGTTTATTCCAGTGGTTCCCAACCTAGGGGTCTGACCCCTCCACAGGGTCACAAGATAAATCATGACCCCGTCATGATTTATCTTGTGACCTATCTTGTGACCCTGTGGATTCCATAGGAGAGGACCCGCTCCCTCTGTAGACAGAAACGGCTCATTTTGAGGAAACAAAAACACAGCGATTCTTATTTTTTAAGGTGATTATACACTAATGAAAACATACCTATGAATATTATATTCCATTTCTGCCAATAGATCCTCCTAAATGTTACACACTGGACCTACAATAGGAGAGGAAAGAAGAGAAAACAAAGTTATGCTACATCCATTTATAGTCCTCTTTTTCTCATTTTCTTTAATCTTTTCTTTTTGTGAAATATTGGATATTTTGACCTCTTTGGGCCTTGAGCAGTCATTCAAATGAAACCTCACGAGGAAATGTCTCTCTTTCAAATTACTTATTCTCCCCTCCGGGAGCACCATGGTGTCTGGGGAACACCAAATGTGCTCCTGTGATAATTTGCTCTCTTAAGAGACATGTGGATGTTAATAAACAATTCTCTCTGTACTCCTCTTGTTACGGTATAAAAAATTCACAACTTTCAAATTAACACCAGTAGCAATATAGTGCTCAATGCAATTTGACATTTTAACATTATTCATTTTTATGAATATATATCTAGTTTGTGACAGATCAACACACTCATTCGACCCATTCCAACAACCTGTTTCAACCAGAAATACATGTAATTACAACTCATCATTGCTCTTTCTTTGTGATTTTAAGCACCCATATTCTGGCTAAATTGGTGCCTCATAGCATCAGAAACCAGTTCAGGTCTACCCTCACTGTAAACAAAAACAATATTTTGCATATATTTTACCCAAGAGCCCATTGAGAGTTGAACTTCCTGGAAAACTTTCACTTCCTGGAAAACAGTAAAGGTGACCTCATGTAACATGTACAGTAGGCGTTACCTGAAGTTCCAACCAATAAAACAACCACACATTTGTGAACAATCCCGCCCCTTTTGTGCCTGTGATCAGATTTCCTATTAGTTGAAACTTTTGAATGATACCTCACTTTGTTTTGTCCTTGTGACTGCACCTTCACCCTGTGGTTACGTGATGGTTCCCAGAGTCTAGCCTGCCTTGATCTATTATGAACCTGCATATAGTTGGCCTTTACGGGGGAAATCAGTAGTTTATCCATGTAGTGGTACAAGTTTGAAGAATTTACCCATTTATCACTAACTTTGGGAGAATCATCCAACTAAATGCAAGTAGGGAAACCGGCGCTCCAGATTTCCTTTCCATCACTTTATCCTGAGTGTAAGGTTACTGCAGCACAATCTCCCCACAGTATGCAGACACTGAAATGGGTCTACTGTTGGAGATCATAGGCACTGGACTGGGACCTCGTTGGGCACAAAGTATAAAAGGAACAAGGTGCTCCAATTCTGTCCTCACTCACAGCTGGCCTCTTCTCTCACAGAAAAAAAAAAAAAAAGTATTTATATCTGGAGCTTACGTAACTTCCAGAACTACTGTCTGAAGGATGGTAGCTGGCTACATGAAGTTCTTGGATGGTAAGTGCCTACAAGTGCCCTCTCACTTGCTTTGGAGGTTCTGCCTTTGCCTCTGCGTCAATATTCAGATCCAAAGATTTCTATTTTAAAAACCAGACCTCACTACAGCTATCCACAGAGCCCCAGCAGACACAACCACAGGTTCCACTTATTCTGCTTGCTGCCCACTCACACGCACAGTCGGTGAGATTAGCATTAGTCATCATCACTATCGACTTTTGGTTTGAAGTTCTAACTTGTGTGTGTGTGTGTGTGAGTGTCTATGTGCGTGAGCTGGAACCTTTGCATTGGCCCTCAAGGTGACATAAATTTTGAGAGAAACCCCTTTAGTGCCAAAGCTCTCATGAAAAGGAAATCCCCACCCCGGACCCCCTCTATGGCTCACTCCCTCTTTCCCTTCAGTGGCACACACTGGGGGACTGTGCTAGTCTCAGCGCCAGTCACACAACATTTTCCACACAGCACTGTCAGCCTTCCAATAGCATTTGCCTTCCCCTTTCGCTTGCAGCTTTCATTTGCATGAGGGAAATGAGCCGTGGCCTCTCAAGCATAAAAAAAAGATATTTCCCTCCACCTTGCACGTGATGCATCACAAACCTACTGTACCTCCAGCTAAGACAAGGCACGACATTCTCTGTGCATCTGGATCTGAATTTAGGTTATCACATTTGATATGAAAACGAGATTTGACTCAAAATAGTTGATGGTTTCCCTGAGAGCTTGGTGCATTTGAAACCTCTATGCTGCCGGCACAACGGACTGGAGTGTTGGGGACAAACAGCTGCTGCTGCCATTGACTTTGAATCAAGGGCATGTGATGCGAGTCCAAAAAAGAAAAAAAAAAACTGTCTGGAGCAGCTGTACCTGACAAGCAGCCCAAGTGGCAAGTTAACCCCACCCAGCTGCCTCGCCATTAATAAACCTCTACCCTCTTTTCTCCTTTCTCCTTTACCATCTTCCCCGTTCGGGAGCTCTGCACATCTGTGAGAAAGTCATCATTTCACAGTCTGGCGCAGCAGGATGCCACGCAGCCTGTCAGCCACAGGAAGGGAAGGGAAATGTTTTATATCAGGAGAGAATGCTGTCGTATTACCAACTCAATATTTTAAATACAGTTCACGCCTTTAATATCTAGCAGTAAAGAGATAATACTGTAGCTTCTTAAGCATCAGAAATAATTATCAATATATCTGTGTAATATTCCCATTCAAGATGAATGAATAGATGGATACGATTAACCTGTTATTCAGTCTCCATACTATCTGCCCTTGCAGGAAGCTGGAGAAATAGCACCCATCTCCTGTTTGTGCCATAAAAAACTTGTTTCCCAAAATCTGACTTTGTGACCATCAACAGTGTGCTGCAGAAGCTGGTAGAGGGGGTTGATGCAGTTAAATAGTTGCTTTAATGATCTTAATGTCACTGAGAGGCAATTATTTTGATGTGATTCAACACCTTTAATTATACATAATTTAACAAGGCAAGTTGTCTCATTACTTGCAGTGGCGTCATTTTTGAAAAGAGATGTCAGACGGAGGGTTTTAGTTTTTTTTTTACATAGAAACTACAGAGCTACAGCACTTAACTT